TACAGCTGGCATGTGAAATGAGCATGTTCATAGCCTGCCGCAGCACCTTGTTGGTGGATGTGATTTATGACACAGACAGAAGAGAGGGGATACAGGGGTAAAATTAAATTAAGCGAAAATCAATTTCGGCTCCACAGAAGAACATGCCAAAATGTTGATCCTAATAAATGACTGGATTTCTTTTGAACTTTGTCTCGAGGCTCGTAAATTAATTAGGTCAACTTTTGGAAACTTCGCATGCTCTGGAAAAAGGCAGAAAGCCTGTAAAGCAGGGGTATCAAACTCAAGGCCCAGGGGCCGAATCCGGCCCATGGTGTGCTTAGATCTGGCCTGTGGGGCTACCCTGGAAACAGTGAAGGACTGGCACACGGCCCTACCAAGCTCCATTTTCATTGGCAGAGGGTTGCAGGAGGCCATTGCTGCCGAAAACAGAGCTCAGGAGCCCGTTTTCTCTGACAGAGCGCTCAGGCTGCCACAGGTGCCCCCCCCCGACACGAGTGACCTCGAGCTGGCCACGCCCACCCCAGCCACAACCCTGATACGGCTCTCAATGAAATCGAATTTGACACTCCTGCTGTAAAGGCTTCAGCTCCTAGAATTCCCCAGCCAGCATGGAATTCTGGGAGTTGAAGTCCACACATCTTGAAGTTGCCTAGGTTGAGAAACACTGGTATATAAGAAAAGGATGACATGGTTAAAATGATAAAAAGTTTGAGTAGCTTTTGGCAGCAAAGTTCTACCAGAAGTGGATGGAAAAGAGGCAAAAGCGAAGACCGTGACAGTCAGCTGACAATGAACAGGGCCTGGGAAATAATAAGTCTGGAAGTTGCCCTGAACATCCAATGCAATTCAATTTTTGGGATTGGGATTGTTCTGTCTCCCTCAATCCATTCTGAAGCTTTGAAGGAACAGAATGATGTCAAGTCACTCTTCATTAAAACTCATGAAGTCTCACCAGGTGGAAGATTTAACTTGGAAACTAAGCAGGGTTTGTCGTAGATAAGACTTGGATGGAAGATCTCCAGGGAATACCAGATCAGTAGACTAGAATGAGAAGTCGGAGGGGAAAATATCTCCTGGGGGAAGGTAATGGCAAACCACGTATGTTCTCTTGCCAAAATGGATGTGTCTCAGAAGCCACCAGGAATGAAGACAAGATAGATGGTTGAGATTCATTTATCCCAACTAAGTGCATTTAACTCTGAGTTGCTCCCCAGAAAAGGGAGAATGTTAATATCAGGCTTCCGTCAGACACAATTGTAAAACCTAGCTCTCTGAATACTTTACTCCATACTCAAGGATTGTCCTAATTGGCAAAGGGTCATGGAACAACTTAGCAAAATTAGTTCTTTTTCTTTAAAACAAGAATCTATATATATAAAAGCAAATTGCCACTCACACAACAACATGAAAGCTCCAGAACCATAAAGCCTACAAACTTGAAATTTGGCACTTATGTTCCTCTTGGTGTCTAGGTCCTCGATAAGGAAGGATTTTTTGAAAAGACCATCAGATCATTAGTATTTCTTATAGTATTATTAACACGCTCTGATGCTAAGAAGTTAAGATGTTTTACTCCACCCTCCCCACCTAAAAAGAACTCTGTTCCAACTGCCACTTGGCCTTGGGCAGTGCATGACTCATCCGGCCTGTGAGCTGGGAGTTTGGAGAGGATCAATGATGCCAGCCTGATGGAGAGAAGGGGATAAGATGGGAGAAGCCTGTGTGGGGCAAGCCTGAGGGAGAGGAGGGGAGAGGAGAGGATCAATGGGGACAACCTGAATGACAGAAGAGGGATAGGAGAGGAGGGGCTTCTGTGGGGCAAGCCTGAGGAGAAAAGGGGAGAGGAGAGACCAATCATAACTACTCATTAATTTTCAAGCTGTAAGTGTTGATTTATCAAGTCAGGTCACATAGTTTCGTAGCGGAGCACAGGTATTCAGCTAGTGAAGCACATAAAGCAAGAAATCAAAGTCCTCATACATATCTTGTGCTTCTGGATTTAAATCCTAGTATTTTGCCTTCCAGGTTTCCNAATTAGAATATAGTGGCGAATATCTGTAGCTCGGGTGTAGGATATGGGTGACGGTTTGTTGTCGAGAGCTTGCGGGTTAGATTCCGAGTGTTTCGTTACCGTGCTAAATACCATCTTCAGCAGAATTTAGGGGATGTTAGTGTCAAAACAACCTACAAGCTTAGAGAACAAACCTTCACCTTCAAATTAAAATATATACTTATATGTATATCTAAATACATGTACCTGAGAAACACTCTGGGAAATTTTAAATAGTGAACTCCGAATCCCTTAATGTGACAGGCTTAGAAATTATGCAAACTGCTGTCTGTGTATCAGGCCCAGCTTAAGAAGGTCCTGAGAATAACCAGAAATTAAGTGATACATTCTTTAATTGAAGCAAAGCAAAATTAAACCATTAAGTCCATCTTTTCTAAACTGGAATCTTCCACATATGTATAGTTTACAATAGTTTTATTTATTAATTTACCAAATTCATACCTTGCCTTTCCTCTAGAACAGGGGTGTCAAACTCAAGGGCCGGGGGCTGGATCCATGCCCGCAAGGTGCTTAGATCTGGCCCGCGGAGTTGACATGGAAACCCTGGCCTGCAGTACCTCTGCCAGCAAAAACGAAACTGGAGCTGTCAAAAATGGAGCTCGGGAGCTCATTTTCACTGGCAGAGCGTTCAGCCACTATAGGTGCCCCCAACACGAGTGACGTCAAGTTGGTCATGTCCCCTAGCCACGCCCACCAGGTCGCCCCCCCCCCGCACGTAAAACACAACCCTGATAAGGCCCTCAATGAAATCAAGCTTAACACCCCTGCTCTAGAACCTCAAGGTAGCACATATACTACTCTTTCCTTTAATTAAATTCTCACAACCAACCAGCATCCTGTAAGATAAGTGTAGTCAAGACATACACACGGACCCAAAGTCATTCTGTGAGCATCCATGGGTAAGAACAGACTTGAATTTGCCTTTCTTTCACTCTACTCCAACTTTCTTATAATTCCACTGACTTTCAAAACCCAATGTTTGACTACAACTGTCAGAATGCTTAACTAGATAGATTCCTGCCATACACCTACATGGCAAAGGGTCAACTGGTGACATGACTGCGATTTACAACATTTTAGCCAAAACCCAGTATTTATCTCTGGGTTTGGACAAAAATACCCCATAGCAAACCCCAGAAAAAGGTAATAAAATCCGATCAATCATGTGCATGACCCACTTTACGATGGATGGTCACAATTTATGACTGTAAGCTCAATGTTGTAGGCAGGCTTCATTACAGTTGTTCATAGAGGACTAACAGTACAAATACAACTGATTATGGGAAATTATTGGAAATGTACTCCATTTGAATTGTACCCAGAAGCTGATAAGGAGCCAAAGCAATGTGCTATAATAATATGCCATAAAGGTAAAGGTTTCCACCTGTCCCGTCATGTCCGACTTTAGCAGGCAGTGCTCATCTCTGTTTCTTGGCTGAGGGAGCCAGCGTTGTCTGAAGACACTTACGTGGTCATGTGGCACAGAACAACCTTCCCACCAAAGTGGTACCTATTTATCTACTTGCATTTGCATGCTTTGAAACGGCTAGGAGCAGTTGGCAGGAGCTGGAGCAAGTAACGGGAGCTCACTCCACTGCGTGGCATTTGGGTCTCGAACCCAGGCCTATCAGCTTTTCAGCTGACAAGCTCAATATCTTT